GATGAAGGAAATGTAAGTATTCACCATTACAACACCACAGTAATAATTATTATAGACAAGGTGCTAAAATTAATGGGTGAAAACTTGAGGAGAAATAGAATATTTGAATTATCTCAAAGTATCTCCTCCAAGATATTTATCAATACAAAGGCCAAAACACACACAGTAATCTGCAGTGGAGAAACCCAGCCACCCCCACTTTTACCACGTGATCAAGGTTAACATCACCAGTAATGGGACATATAGACACCACCTGGCCCCTGATACGATGCACTAAGAAAGGTGCATCACATATGTGGTATTCTTGCCAAAAAAATATAACCTCAATCTAATCATGAGGGGAAAATCAGACAAATGCGAATTGAGGGGCATCCTATAAAATAACTGCTCAGTACCCTTCTAAAAGGTCAAGGTCATGAACAGCAAGGGCACACTGAGGCACTGTCACAGACTGGAAGGAACTAAGGAGACATGACAACCACATACAACATGGGGTCTTGGACTGAATCCTGGAACAGGGAAAGGACATGAATGAAAAAACAGTGAAATCTGAAACAAATCTATAGTTTAGTATTAGTGTTTCCCAATACTAATTTATTGGTTTTAGTAACTATAAATTATGTATGATGCTAACACTGGGAAAAGCTAGGAGGGTATACAGAAACTTTCTGTACTATATTTGCAAATTTGTATTTCAAATAAAAAGTTAAAAATAAAACATCTGCCCATATTCCATTCTCTGGGGCTCTTCACTGATGGCAATCAGCAGATCACAGTGTTTCCCCCTGTGGTTCCATCCCTTAATAAATGGTGGGTCCTCTGTGCCAGGTGCTTTACATACACAATTTCACTGAATCCTTGCAATGATCCTCTGAAGAAGGTATTAGTAGCCCCATTTTACAGATAAGGAAGCTGAGGTCCAAGGCCACAAATTAGAAAGTAGAGGACTTCTGCATTCAGAGTCCATCTGAATGCAGAAACTGTAAGTGATGCCTTATTCAAAGGCAGGAGCTCATAGAGGAGGTTGTAGACATATGACAGGGTATCAGGGGCAATGCCTTTTGGTCCTTCGAAGCATGGTATTCAGATGCCACCTACTTAATCCAAACACAGGGCTGTCCGGGTAGTGGTTAAGACCACGTCTCTAAGCTTTAGTTAAGAACTGTTTCAGTACAAATCCCAGGTCTGCTACTTATCTATCATGTTCTTCCAAAAGTTACTTAATCCCTCTGTGCCTGAGTCTCCTCCTGTATAAAATGAGGGTAATGTTTAGTGCCTGTCTAGGGCCTGGCTCTGAGGGTCAAGCACTTAAAACAGTTATACACACTTCATAAGTGTTAACCATCACTTTTTGTTTTCACTCTCTGCATCTGTCTTCAGCCACCTGTAAAATGCCAGCTTGATGAGTGGGTTTGTCTAAGCCAAACAGTGAGTCAAAGCCCAAGCAAAAGCTAGGAGTGTGCTGTGGAGAGAGGGGCAGAGAGGGGAGTCATCTGCCTGCTATTATCAGCCTAAAATCTGAAACTGGGTATCAGCCAAGAATCATCTAGGGGCGTTATGGAATTAGAAAAACTGTCAAGGCAGGAAAGGAGCGCTGGAATAATCCAGTTCTCTACTAACTTGCAAGTGGTCCCCAGGCAGAGGTGTCTCACCACTCCAGGTGTGACCAACCTAGGGTTAATTTAAAAAGAGAAAGAAGAAAGAGAGGGAAGCGGAGAGAGAAAGAGAAAAAAGGGGGAAAGGAGGGGAGAGGAGGGGAAGAGAAGGAGGGAAAAAGGGAAAGAAAAAATTCTCACCTAAGGATCTCACCAAAGAATCCTATATAGAATCCCTGAAATTTTGAACATGAATCAATAAATCTCAGAATGCTACTCAGTATCAAAATCTAGATAATATTTGCCTCCTGCTGGTTCAGTGAAAGCACTATTTTTTTAATGCATAGAATGACGGAAACCAAGCTGAGAACATCTTTGCTGATGTAAACCTGGAAATGGAATTGATAGGAACACTGGCAGAATATGCCCTGGGGTTCTCCAGAGTGCTGAAGTCTGTTAAATAGCAGAATTCTCATCAACTTGATCAAAACCAATCAATGACTCATACCAGGTCTATATGTGGGCACTATAGTGGTAACAGGCTGATTTAAATGATTTGGGGACTGCAGCAATCCATAGTTTTGCATAGCTAATGGGTTGGCCTTAGCTACTAAGTTTGGAGGATGTACATCTTGAATTCAAATGCACTGCAGACCTCCTGACACAACTGCAAATACCTGGATGCCAAGAGACAGTCTCCCGGGAGGATATAAGGTATTACACATATCCTGTACTCTGTTTTAGGTGGGCTTTGCAACAGACTGTGATCTCACCTACATTTGCTTCTAACCATGCTTCGCTTCAGTGGCCTCAGCTCTAACTTGGGAAGGTTGGATGAGGTCAGTGGCTTTCAACCCTGCGTGCACATTAGAACTAACTGGGAAAATTTTTTAAATACTAACACTCCTACTCTGACCAATTAAGTCAGAATATTTGGAGTGGGTCACATTCCAGTATTAAGTTGTCTACCAAAGGTGTAATTTAGAGTCCCCAAAGAAGAAGCACACAAAAATTATTTGAAGAAGTAATAGCTGAAAGTTTTCTAACTTTCATTAAAAATATAAATTGACATATCCAAAAACTTCAACAAACCCCAAGGCAGGATAAATACAAAGAAAATCACATCAAGGCATATCATAACCAAATTTAAGAAAACCAATGTTAAAGAGAAAATCTTCAGAGAAAAAATACTCATTGCTTACAGGGAAACATAACTAAAAATCATAAAGACTACTCAAGTGAAACTATGCAAGCCAGAAGACAATGGAATGATATCTCTAATGTATAAAGAGCAAGGGGACTACCCTGGTGGTTCAGTGGTTGAGAATCCGTCTGCCAATGCAGGGGACACGGGTTCAAGCCCTGGTCCGGGAAGATTCCACATGCCGCGGAGCAACTAAGCCCGTGCGCCACCACTACTGAGCCTGCGCTCTAGAGCCCATGAGCCACAACTACTGAGACCGCATGCCACAACTACTGAAGCCCACGTGCCTAGAGCCCGTGCTCCGCAACAAGAGAAGCCACCGCAATGAGAAGCCTGTGCACTGCATCGAAGAGTAGCCCCCGCTCAACGCAACTAGAGAAAGCCCACGCACAGCAACGAAGACCCAGTGCAGCCATAAATAAATACATAAATATTTTTTAAAATGTATAAAGAAGAAGGAAAAATGACTATCAACCCAGAATTCTATATCAAGTGACAGAATTCTTCAAAAGTCAAGGCAAAATAAAGAATTTTCAGATTAAAAAAAAAACAGAATTCATTACCACTAGCAGACCTGCATTATAAGAATTATTAACTAAAGCTCTTCTGGCTAAAGGAAAATATCAGATGGAAATCAGGTCTACACAAGCAAATGAAGAGTCCTGGAAATTCTAAATATGTGGGTAGATAAAAATGTACATGTTTTCTCATTTCTCATTTTTTTAAAGGTAGCTGACTACTTAATACAAAAATAACAGTATACTGTGGGGTTTATAATGTATGTATAAGTAAAATATATAACAACACTGGCACAAAGGACAGGAAGGGAAGAGGAATTATACTGTCGTAAGATCTCACATCAAACGTAAATTGGTATAATATTAATGGAAAGTAGACTTGGTAAGTTAAACGTATATTACAAACACTAGAGCAATCACTGAAAACGTAAAACGAAGAGGTACAGCAACTAAACTTACAGAGAAGATAGAATGGAATTCTAAAAAGTACTGAACTCATACACAATAAGGCCGGGAAAAAGTGAAACAAGGAACAGATGGAAAAAATAGAAAATAAATATCAAGATGATATATTTGAACCCAATCTACCAATGACCATTCCAATTCAAAGGCCCAAGATTGATAGACTAGATAAAAATCAAGACCAAAATACATGCTGTCTACAAGATATACACTTTAAATACACAGATGCAGATAGATTAAAAATAAAGGATGGAATAAAATATACCATCCAAACACTAATTATAAGAAAGTTCTATTCAGCATGGGGTATATAGTCAATAATACTGTAATAACTTTGTGTGGTGACAGGTGGTAACTATGCTTATCATGATGACCATTTTGTAACGTACATAAATACCAAATCACTGTGTTGTGCACCTGGAACTAACATAGGTAAATTATACTTAAATTTGTTTAAAGTAGCAGCAAAAAAAAGTTCTATTGTCAATATAGCTTAATAAAATAATAATAACAAAATAATTGTTTTAATTGTTACAAAGGAAGTTCTATTGACTACACTGATATCAAGTAAAACAGACTTCATAAAAAGGAATAAAAAGGAACATTACATAATGATAAGAGGTATGGTAAAGATAAACAGTATAAACAATTTTACACCATAAATTCAAGAGCTTCGAGAAAAATGCACAAATTCCCTGAAGGGTACAAACTATCAGAACTCACTCAAGAAGAAACAGAAGGACTGAATAATCCTATATCTACAAAGTAAACTGAATTTGTAGTTATAATTTTCCTTCAAAGAAAGTATCAGTTCCAATAGTTTCACTTGTAGACTCTATTGTTAAAAATTAGAAATTTTTAAATTGGAAAAAAAATACCAAATCTGTCAGACACTTTCAGAAAACAGAGAAAGAGAAAACCCTTTACAACTCATTTTATGAAGCCAACTTATCTTGATGCCAAAACCAGAAAAAAAAAATATTATTAAAATAGAAAACTACAGACCAATACTCTTCATGGGACAAAAATACTTTTAAAATATGAGCAAACTGCGTTCAATGATATATAAAAAGGATAATATACCATGACTCATAGGGATTTATCCTAGGAACAAAAAGTTAGTTTAATATTCCAATATCTGTGAAATCATATGATTATCTCAAAATAAAAATTTTTTAACTCATTTGACACAATTCAACATCATTTATGGTAAAAACTCACCATATAGCAGGAATATATGCATTCACTTGCAGGACACTTTTCTTTGCATGAGGCCCAGGACCTTGCTTTCCTTCCTGAACTGGCCCTTCTCGCCAGGTTTCAATCATGCTGAGGCCCAGCAGTCCAATGTCAGCCCTGGGGGGAAAAAAAACGGCAGTTGAACACTTAACTGGGATCATTTTCCAAGTCAGAGGCTGAGTCTTAGAACAGCTCAGAAGTGGCCCAACAGGCCCTAACCTAAGGCTCCGGGGTGGGGAGAGCAGACTGGGAGTTCCAAAGCTCTTTCTATTGATATTCTAGAATTTCCACTGCACTTCAGAAACTGTTCACTGACCCACAGAGCCTCTGAGTGTAGCAGATCTCAGAAATCTGAAACAAGCCTGTCCTTCATTTACAAGCAGAGAAACTGAGGCCCTGACAGTTTTGCAAAGTCACACACAATTTGGAGGCAAGGCCAGAGCTCCAGCCAGGGACAGAAAGAAGTAGCCACCACCCAGTCACCAAATACAAACAGATCCCAGCATCACCCTGGGTCTTCCTTCTGATTATGAACATTTTCAAACGTACCGAAAGGTAGAGGTAATATAATTAACACCCACAGACATATATCTGTCATCTAGATTGAACAATTGCTAACATTTTGTACTATTCGCTTCATCCGTTTTTTTTTTTGCTAAAATATTTTACATTACAAATATCACTACCTTTCACACTTAAATTCTTCATAACCCATTTCTTTAGAAAATAAGAGCATATTCCTATGTTAATTACAACGTCATTAAGGTGCCTAGCAAAATCTTTTTAAATTCCTTAATAATGCCCAGTCTCAATTTGTAGCAGATCCTGCTGGTGTCCATCCCACCTCTCCCGGCCCTCCTCCCTGGAAGGCAGCTGCTGCTGCAGTGGGGTGCACCCTTACACACTGACACTTCCAGCTCAAGCACCTCCATGTCCATCTGAGGGCAAGCTAGCCCTGCAAGACTTTTCACCATAACGGCGCAGGCTCAGAGTGCTAGGCAGTTAAACCCCAGGAGGGACAGGACTTGGTCATTAGATAGCCAAGCTTCCTTGCCCCTTGGAGGAACACTTCTGAGTGTGCAGTCACTAAGGGGGTTCCAATGCAACAGAATTCCCATGGCCCACAGAAGGAACCCACCCACTAGCTCAGCCTGCACTAGTTTTCCTCCCTTTCCTGTGTCACTCTGCAGCCCTTACGGTGCTTCGTGGGGTAACTTCCCAGGTAAACATCTCACACCCTGATTCTAGTCTCAGCATCCACTTTTAGGGACCCCAAACTAAGACAATGTTCAAGTTTTCCAATCATCTTAATCATCCTGTGTTTTCAATAGGTCAAAACCAAGAGCCTAAACAATGTGGGGTTTGGAGGGGGCAGGGGTGCAGTCAGGGAAGATAAGAAGCCACCCTAAGTTCTGTCACTGGGCCTGGGCTGCTTGACCAGTGGGACTGGACATGTCCTGGTTTTGCCCACTCAGCTTCTGAGCCCCCTTCCTATAGAAACCACCCCTCCCTGACTCTCTACTCCTGGCCCTGGGGTGGGCAAGTGAGCCAGGCCTGGACGGTCGGGGTCCCCCACTCCCCAGACCACAGGCGTTTGTTCAGGGAGGAGCAACGACCCTGGTGAACCAAGGAGAGTCAGTACTAGGCTCTGGTTGCCACTAGGGAAGAGAGGTTTACTGCCTATCAGGCAGGATGTGAGCCTGGAGCTGCTGGGGCCATTTCTGCCACCCTGTGGGGACAGCTAGCCTGAGGATGAAGTTGACACAGAGGAACAAAGGCTGAGAGATGGAGCTGACAATTCCATACAAAACCTGGGCCCAGTCATGCCTGACTCCTGGCATGTGAGTCAATCACCTCCCCTTCTGCTTAAGCCAGGCTGAGCTGGATTTCTCTCCCTCCCCGACAAAAAGCGAGTGCTGACTGCTACACAGTCAAAGAGTTCTCCATTCGCTGGGAACCCCTGATACCTGAGCTCAGTGGCTGCGCCTGTGTCATGCACCAGGTGTTCACCAAGGTGGTAAAGAAGACTGTTTTGAATGGACAAGGACCCGCAAAAAAGCCAGGTCAAATTCTCTCCGTCATTGTCCCTTGCCTCCTTCCAGCCTGTTGTCTGCACTGCCTACGAGAATGACCTGTGTATGCCCACCACTGTGCTTTACAGGAAAGCAAAACCCTGATGCTGGAGGGTATTATACTTTCAATAATTTGTGAATTCCCTGAAGGCCCATAACACATACTAGTTTATACTATGCTGAAGCCCAATTTGTTTTAAATACAATAATAGCTGGTGAAAGGAGCAAGTCACTTCCCTGGGGAGTGAGCCTCGCCTACCACCTACATCCACGTCTCTTGAAGGGGAAATTATACACGCTCTGGGAATGGTCAGCTGCTTGGGGACTCACAGAAGCCCAGGAACTGTCCCTGTAGGGCTGCTGCGGGTTTCCTCTGGCAAGAACAGGCTACTGCTGGTTGAGCACCTACTTCTGTGCCAGGCATTGTACCAAGTGTTCCACATACATACCATGTATGTCTCCTCAAGACAGTCTGGAGAGAGGGACCACTGTCCTCATGGGACAATTGAGGGAACGCAGGGCCAGAGAGGTAAGTGGCTTCCCAAGGTCACGAAGCATTTGTGATGGAGCTGGTGTTCATTTCTAGGTCTAGAAAACATGCCTTTTCCTGTAACTCCTCTATCTTTTCCCACTAACTTTAGTAGGGGTTCAATAAGCACGTATAGGGCTATGAACAGAATTTCAATTGTCTGCACACTGACCCTCTGGCCAGCGAATTGGGAGATGAGAACACACAGGTGTTGTCCACATACAGAGAGCATGTTTAGAGAAACAGGGCTTCCCGAACTGGCTGGGCTTCTTTTCAGTAAGTCTGGAGCAGGTACTGAGCATCCCTACTTTTTTAACGAGAGTCCTAGGCGGTTCTTGTGATTAAGCACTGTTGACAGCTGTGCCATGGGGCGCTATGACAGACAGAAAGGACAGACAGAAAGTGGCTGTGACACTCCTCTTACTCAGATTGAAGTGGAGGGAGTAGCAGCGCCTAGTTACCGACCAAGGTGAGTGCAAGTGGGAGCGAGTGAGGGCGGGACCAGAAATCAAGGAATTTTACTCCTGCCCATGACAGCTAACAGAGTGTTTTTTTTCTCCTCCAACCCTGAGGGTTTTAGAGGGTTTTTATCTGTACTGAGACTACAGCCAGGACCATAGGTACGGGGCTGTTGAGCGGTTCACACAATTCGCGAAAATAAGACATTTGCATTTTTTATTACTATTTCACTTCTCCAAGTCACCACTGCTGCAAAGTTGATGAACAGAGCCTTCAAGACATCAGCTCAAAGCTCAGAGAAGAGAAAGCCCAGGAATGCCTTAAATGTCTGCTGCCAACTTCCACACCCTAGTCCCCTGGTCGGGCCAGGGAGCCATGCGGTGGCGTGTGACTCTTCCAGAACAAGTGAGGGCCCTGGGAGAACCCTGGGCTGGGCAGGTCGGGGCAGCCTTACCTGGAGTTATTCACCGGAAAGGAGGGAAGGTCTGTGGACTGGGAATTATGGCACCATGGAAGGGCATAAGCCTCCATTTCTACAACTGAAAATGGGGATAACTGTATTTTTTCATATGCTATCTGTCGTTAGTATTCTCACCTCATCTAAACGCAGATTCTACCTTCAAAGATCCATTCATTTTTCACCTGACTCTGAGCACATAGTTATAGAGTGTCAGGACTGGAAGAGCCTTCTAGAGATCCCCCATCTAGTCAAACCCATTTATGCCACAGATGGAGGAAAAAAACAGAGAGGTTCGAACACTTAAGAAGGTCGCACAGAAGTCAGTCTAGAGCCAAGACAAGCCCCAGCCCGCCCAGCTCCCGGTTCCTCACCACCCCACCAGCAGGCCTGGCAGTTTATCTAACTGCAGACGTGGTGAGTCTAACAAAAATTTTGGTGTATCTAAAAAAAAAAAAAAGATTGATTTTGATGTTTTGAGGCTTCGTGAAACCAGCAATTTTAATCAATTTTTCAAAATTGCTACTTCCATCCATCCAAGGAACTCACACACAAACAGAAGGGCTGATTGAAATTTAAATGGCGGCTGGCTTGTTAGGTACAGGCACCAGGCTGGGTACCTTCATATGCAAGTCTGCAAGTGTGTCCCGGCCTGGCAGCAAGAGGAAGCAATCTCCCGGAGACACTCGAAGGCATTAAGAATTCAGGCAGCCAAAACGAGAAGCAACAACATGAAATGATAAAACAAAGACAGATCATTATTAGCGCCAACATAATGTGTTCCCGTGTCCTCCGATCTCATTTAGAGCCCTGCTCGTCGTCTATTGAAACTATAATTAGGCTGATAGGAACCAGAGGATTAAAGTAACTTTCTCCCCCGAATTGCGAGGATTTCAAACGAGCAAAGAGGGGGAGGAGATAAACCTGAGAACGATTTTAATATTCTGGGCTACTGCTCCCACAACAGCACGGGCTGACAAACAATGGCCGGTTCCTTCCTGAGGTGGCCTGGGGAGGGATGTTACATCGCTGTCCAACCCACCTCAGGGATGGCAAGCCCACCTCCCTCCCCAGCCAAACCTTCGCCTTTGTCCTTGACACTTCGCGCTTAGTGACCCCTTCTAGGGCCTGACTCAGAAACCCTTTGCCAGTCCGTCCTCCTCTCACTTCTCACAGCCTCTGCTGGTGTGACCGCGTCCTAACACACCTGCCGCCGCTACTGCATCAAACTCCTGTCTGGCCTGGAAGCTCCAGAGGGCGGGGACCTCTGATCTCTTACTTCAGTCTCTGGTGCCTTTAGTTAGATGCTACTTCCCCGCCTTAGTCGGGCTCCTCATGGCCACCAAGGTCACCTTTCTCATCCCTTCTATCTATAAACCAATTACAGGACCCACTCCCCTACCCACGAAACAGCACCAACCCCAGCAAACATTGAAGCCCCTTCCCATCTGTCCCCACACTGCCTCTCTGGCCCCTCCTATCCCTGGCTCTGGTGGCACGGGACCACTTGCCCACCAGAATATGCTGCACACTTTGCCCCTCAGGCCGGCGCACACACACAGCTCCAGCCCACCGCTCCTTTATGTGGCAAAATTCTATA